TGGGATCAGTAGCCCCTGGCCTGTCCGCCCTGTCTGAGGGCCACATGGAGGCCAAATGGAAGTGAAAGGCTTGGCAAGCTGTGAAGTGTGTTGGGGCGCCCTGAAGGGCTGGCGTTTGTGTTCTGGGCGAGTTGGGCTGGCAGGGGCCCCGGGGTGGGGCGGGGCTTTGCTTCGGTCACGCTCCTCGTTCTTCACTGTTTGTGGATGGAAGAGAGGAGCACAGGGGCCGGGCTGTTGGGCAGATGGGCGGTCATCGGTCACACGTGGGCTGCCCTGGTCTCCCGCCCCGCAGCCTGGGACTACAGCCAGGGCTTCGTGAACGAGGAGATGATCCGGGACCACCTTCCGCCCCCGGAGGACGAGCCGCTGGTGCTGATGTGTGGACCGCCACCCATGATCCAGTACGCCTGCCTGCCCAACCTGGAGCGCGTGGGCCACCCCAAGGATCGCTGCTTCACCTTCTGAGGGCCGGGCCCTGGCCGCGCGCTTGCCCGCCCCGCGTCCTCACCGGGCCCTGGCCTCACACCAGCCCCCCTGCCGCCACTGTTGTTTCATGTCACTGTCCCCCACGTCTCCTGCCACGGCCCCGGGTTCAGCCTGGCCTGCCCGTGTGCCTGGGTGGTCACCCCGCTGGGCTGGCCCCCGAGGGGCTCCTTTGGGAGCAGGGTTCTGTTACAGATGGGCCACCGCCACTGGCCACCTTCAGGGCAGGTTCCTGTTTGCCCCTCACTGGTTCTTACTGGTGATGCCTGGCCCTGGCCCTGGCTCCGGCCCTCTTCCCCACCCCCACACTACTGGGCCGAGGAGGCCAGCACCACGCCCCACCTCCCTCTCCCAGAGCAGACCACACTCTGGAAGTAAACATGAAGGTACGGGCAGCCCAGAGCTGCGGGTGCCCAGGAGCCCCGGCCACCGCCTCGGGACCCTTGCCTGCCCCTCACGGCCAGGCCTCAGCACCTGACACTACATGACAGGTAACACCAAAAAGCCCTCTTGGCAGGGGCCGTGGGGGCGAGAGGCTGCCCCCACCCTGGGGCCCGGGCCGGCCCGGCCCGCAGGGAGCTTGGCTCTTCCTGGGGCTGGAGTGGGAGGAAGGGGCTGGCCAGGGGCCCCTCCAGCTGGCACCTGGGCCATCCCGAAACCTCAGCATTTCCCCCAGCACGCCCAGTGGGGCAGCCTCGGGAGTTGTGGGCTGTCAGCTCGGCAGCCTGACCCACCGCCTTGTGTCCCGGGCCGCAGTCCTGATGGCAGAGCTCAGACAACGTTTATTTGCTCCTCTGTCCCAAACGCCTGCTCCTGCTGCCCTCGCCCCCATCCGGGGAGATTCTGAGCAGAGCCTCTTGTCTGAGAGATGTTCTCAGCGGCCTCGACGTTGCCTTTAGACGACCGTGTGTCGGCCTCTTGCATATTGGCTTTTTTAGAGTCATTTATGAGCAGAAAAAACATTGAAGTAAAACTTTGCTAATATGAACCCTCTCCCGCTCCTTGAGCCTCTGTCACCCATGTCCTTGGGGGGTTGGCAGGGAGAGGGGACAGGATGGGGCTGCGCGAGGCCTGGCATTTATTTCTTATGGATATGTTTGTTGTAGAAAATTTGGAGAGGACAGAAAAGCATACACAGGAACAAAAAACACTGGACATCCAGAGGCATACACCTGTGACTGACGAAACCAGGTCGTCCAGTGTGTGGCGGCCGCTTTCCCCCTGGGGGCAGACGCTGGCCATAACTGATGGGCCATGATTTCTCATGTAGCAAATCCCCCATCATTGGACAGTTAGGCTGTTTCCAGTTTGTGGATTTTAGGAATAACAGCAGCCATCTTCCCCCACCTGTCAAATGATTTTCTTAGGATCGATTCGTGGAGACAGAGGGCTGGGCCAGGGGATACTGATGAGAAAGACACCAGACAAGTAACAGATGCTGGTAAATGCCAAGACGGAAATTAAAGATGAGTAATGAGACACTGTGGGCGTGAGGGCGGTTCCTGCAGTCGGGCAGCAGGAAAGCCCTTTCTGAGGAGTTGGCCTTTATGCTCTGATGTGAAGAGAAGGAGCTGGCCCTACTGGGCCAGGTGTTCAAGGTGGTGGAAACAGCAGGTGCAAAGGCCTTGTGACCGCAACAAGCATGGGGAATAAACTTCCAGAAACAGATCAAAGAAGGCAGGTGGCTAAGGGGACAGTGACAATGAGGCTGGAGAGGGAGGCAGGACTAGATGTGCTCTGGAGGGAGTGGCCAGCAAGTTCAAAGGCCCTGGGGCTGGGACCTCCTGGATGGCCCAGGGAACATAGTGAAGGCCAGTGTGGCTAGAGTGGAGTAGGGAAGAGAAGATGGGGAAAGTTCACAGGAAGGAACACCTGTGGCCAAGCCTTGGGGCACGGGAACCCCTTTCTTCCAATCTCTCACCTTCCATCTGTCCCTGACACATACTGGGGCAGGACTGGGACTCCTCAGTGGGCAGGGAATCCCTGGCCTTGATGGCCTTTGTGCACACCTACTGTGTGCCGGGGACTCTGCTGACCACCGAACACACATTAGGTCTCATTCCTCTCCCCTTCTGGAGGATAAGAAAACAGGCCTTAGGGTTGGGATTTGATGCAAACTTGCCTGAGCCCAGCAGAGGGTGTCTTCTGGGGCTGGAAAGGAGGGCATGAGTTGGACCCGGTCCTGCCCCTCCCTCCTGGACTCAGTTTCCCCGTCTGTAAAATGGTGAGTGAACTAGGTGGGTGACTCCCCTCTCAGCGCTGACGCCCTTCTAAAGGAACGTTTATAACAGCCCCTCCACGCTCCTGAAGTGAAATCGCCTGTAGGTTCTATCACCTCCCTACACACAGGATTTTCAAAAATTAGCACAAAGCTCCTACTATGTTATAAAAGAGCAGGAAAGGAGAGGAATTTATAAAAGGGCACACATTTCAGCATGTAAATGCTGGCCCAAGTCCCCCAGAAGGGGGGGTGGGGGCAGGGGTTTGCCCAGATGTGGGGTCCTTGGCCTGTCACGGCCCCACACGCAGCCGACTCCGGGCTCTGCTGACGGGCGGGCTTGTTGCAGGCGGCACGATTCTCGGTGGATTTCCAAACGGAGCGGGACGATTCCTCGGGCTGCGGTGCCGCTGCATGGCTGCATGGCGGTGCCGTGTCTGTTCACACCGAGCAGAAAGTGCTGCGTGTTCCCACAGGCACGGAGGGAAGTCAGGCTCCGAGAATTCCCGGGCCTCTCCCTTCCGGCACCGGCTCCCGGAAAGTCGCGGGCGTTGGCGGGGCCGGCGGGCCCGCCCCACCCCGGTCCCCACCTCCACGTGACCACCGTCTGTGTGGCCTGGACGAGGAAACACGGGCAAGCCAGACTCCGAAAGCTCAGAAGTGGCCCTGGGGGAGGGCCACCCCGCTGACGATCCCAGAATTAGTTGATCTCAGTTCATGACCCTATTGTGCGGGCTTTCAAAAGTCATGTAAGTGACCTTTTTTACATCTCACGTAAGGCGAGACAGGGCCTCAGCTCGTGCGTCCTCTGGCCGCGTCCTGCTTCCTCCGCACCTGCCCTGCGCGGTCCCGCCGCGCGCCCTCCCTGCCTGCTGCCCGGGCTCCGGGTTCCTCCCCGCCCCGCTGGGAGGGAGGCGGCGGGGCCGGGTTCGCGGTCCCGTTTCACAGCTGAGCGAAGGCGGCCCGGCCAGCGCCCCGTCACGCTGCGCAGCTGGGTCCCGATTCCCCTGCCCCGTCTGGCGCCCAACCCAAGACCCTCGTGGCTTTGCCAGCTTTTGCTCGTTTCTCCACGGAGCCTCTGATGCCAGATTTTTAGTTGCGGTGTGATGTTCAGTTAAGAGCACCTAACTCCACTCGCAGTGTTGGGCTTAGAGCTCATGGAGCACTTAATCCATGCTCGCCACTCTTTTAAAGGCCCTGCTTGTTTTTGTTTTGTTTTTTGGGGAAGATTAGCCCTGAGCTAACATCTGCCGCCAATCCTCCTCTCTTTGCCGAGGAAGACCGACCCTGACCGACATCCGTGCCCGTCTTCCTCTATCCCATTGTGGGACCCCTACCACAGCATGTCCTGACAAACGGTGCCATGTCCGCATCCGGGATCCGAACCTGCGAACCCCGGGCCACCGAAGCACAACGTGCGAACTTAACAGCTGCACCGCCCGGCCGGCCCCCCTGCATGTATTTTTATTGATAGATTCGACAGATATTTTGCATCGAACACACACCTCACGCCAGGCTCAGTGCCGGAGGCTGGGGTCGCGTTGACGGAAAGGCAACGCCACATCCCGAAGACCTCAGTGAATGAGTCTGTTGAACCCTCGCGACAACCTAGGTTATCGGCCCCACTTTTCAGATCAGAAAAGACAGGCACCGAGAAGTGATTTGCGTGTGAAGGTCATGCAGCCAAGAGGCGTGGCCCGCGGGACGTGACCCGTACCGTCGTCCAGCTTCCCCCTGCCCCGGAGGAACACCTACTGGGTGCAGCCGGGAGCCGCACGCTTCTTGATTTGTTAACCACAAATAAGCACCAGGCGTCCGTTCGGTCCTTACTTCCCGGCGAGTCTGCTTTTTAGAGGGAAACGGGACGGGCAGACCGCGACTCCCAGGCATCCCGCAAAGTAGGCGGGTCACCTTAGGGGCGACCTTTACCCGCTCAAAAATTCGTCTCACATTAGCAGTGAGGACTCGGGCGTCACCCCGAATCGTTATTTTCCTTACTCATAAGTTTAAGGCATAAGGATATGTTCCCCTTACTTCCTGGGTAATGAATTCTATTCTCATTAGAGCTACGGCGAGTAGCAAAGTGGACCATCGACCTAAGAACTCCGCTCTTTCGAAGCTTGTCTTACTCGGTAATTAATTTTTTATGTCGCTTTGCATTTTATTTGTTCGTCTGGGGAGAATAGGGAAAGGTAGTTCTCCGAGCCGCCGTATGCAGATAAGGGGCCGGCGTCGCGAAGGCTCACGGGGAGCTCCCGCCCCTTCCGGTCTTTGCCTGGTTTGAGCTGTCGCGAGAGTTCCTCGGCCGGAAGCAGCTAGTGGCTCCGTAGCGGCCGAAGGGGTGGGCTCACGGGCTGAGGGAGTGTAAGCTGCTCGCGGCTCGCTCGGCGGTGCAAGATGGCGGACATCTCCCTGGACGAGCTCATCCGGAAGCGCGGGGCTGCGGCGAAGGGGCGGTGAGCATCCTCTTCTTCCTTCGGGGTTCAGGGCTGCCGCCTGGGGGGCTCGGGGCGGAGGAGGGAGCGGCCCGGGCGCGACGCGGAGGCCGCCTGCACCCGCCCCCTGCCGCAGCCGCGCTCCTCATTGGCTCGGCCCCGCCGCCGCCGCCGCGGGCCCGGCCGCCCGGCCGCCCACTGGCTGCAGGCGCCGGCGCTCCGGGGCGGCTGCGGGCGGCGGGGCCGGGCTCTCGGCTCGTGGGAGCAACCGGGGGGCGGTGCCGGCCGCGGAGGGGAGGGGAGGCCCCGGGATGCGGAGGGTCTCCGGCGCAGCCCCCTGTCCCGGGCGGACGGGCATCGGGCCCGCTGCTCCATTATCCCAGCACCACTAAGTTTGCGGGGACGTGGCTCGCTCAGAGAGCGCCGTCTGGGGCTGCCAAGCCGGGACCCAGACCTCTGGCTTCCGACTCCTCGTCCGCGTCCCCCGCCGGCCGCCTCGTGAGCGCTGCCGCCCGCCGGGCGCGTTTTAAGTTCTCGGGGCGCTTTCGTGTGCATGCGGTCCTGTTGCTCCACGCGCAGTCCTGTCGTCCCCAGTTACAGGTGAGAGCGGGGGCTGGAGAGGAGCGTGCCTCGGCCCAGGCCGCGGGAGCTCTCCGAGCTGGCCGAGTTGGCCTCAGGCACGCGGCAGAAAAACAGGTGGGACGCGCTGGAGGGTGGCCCGGCCTTCGTGGTTCTGGAAGACCGTGCTTGATCTGGGGCAGGAGCTGGGGAGATGCCGTGCAACTGCGTGCCCCAGCCTTCGTTTGGACCCTCCAATACTGCTAGTCGTTTCCAGCCTCTCTGAGCTCCAGTTTACCTGTGTGGAGAAGTGGGAACTTGGTCAAGAGTTTTCCGGCGCACGTTCAGTTAGTTCCGATGTCTCTGTAAACAGCCAGGCTGGCTGTAAAGCTGTTCGATACCGTTTTCTCTAGAAAATAGATTCTCTGTCTTGTTATGTGAAATGTATTCCCCAACGCCCTACACACACAGCCACTGCAGCCGCCGCCACGTAATTCACCAGCCAGCTCTTCACTTGGCTTCTGTTCATAACAGGCGGGCAGTAAGTAGTAATTTCCTCAGCCGTTATCCGTGAGTAGCTCTCCCCTAGGTTTTTCCTCTGGTGACAGGTGTGGAATTGGTGCTGGGTCCTCTGGCCCCGTCTAAACCCGTCCAGGTTTCATAGGTTTCCCCAACAGTTGCTGAGCGAGCCTCTTCCCAAGACGTGCTGTCTTTGCAGCCGCTCCCCTGCGCCCCTGACCGCCGGCTGTCTTGATGTTGATGTGCTCAGGGTCTCGTGTTGGGCCGTGAGTGGGGATGCAGGGAAGGGAGGATGTGTGGATCCATGGGAAGAGCAGGGACTGTGCAGCCGGGCAGACCTGGTCGCCTGGCAGGGCCTGTTGTTGGGTTCTGTGTCGCCCTGGCTAGATGACTTGTGAGCTGTGCAGTTTTCTCACTTGTGGTTCTCAGTAGTGGTTCCTGGTAGATCGTTGAGAGGATTAAATAGGAGAATATAAGAATGTATGCTTTAAAGTTTGTCCCAGGTAGTTCAGCAAATGATGGCGGTGGTTGCAGATCTTTCCCCAGAGGAGGAGAAGCCTGAACCCCTTTCCAGGGGGTGTAATAGGTAAGCACTGGGGCCTGGAGTCACTGCCAAGGTTCAGTTCCCTGCGGCTCCCCCTTTCCCTATGATCTTAGACAAGTTACTTAACTGTTCCATGCCTCTCTTTCCTTATCTATAAAACATGGATGACGTTTCCTTTGTCAGGTTATTGTCAGGACTAAGTGAATTAGTACATCTAAAGTAGTTCACAGAGTGTCTGATGAGTGCTAGGTGGTCGATGGATGTTGGTTATCGTCATCGTTATTGAAGGCTTTTAAGTAAAGTAGCAGCATCCAGTTGGCAGTGTGAGGATATTGCTTCGCTGTTATGTGAAGATTGGATTGGGGAAGTGCAGGCAAAGAAACTGGCATTGAAGAAACTGGACTGCATGCCGCATTTGAGTTAAACCTCCTGGAAACTTCATTTTCGTTTCACTTGCACAGCCAACAGAGAAAAACTAGATCGGGGGCCGGGGGTCCCCATCAAGAACTGTCGAAAGTCTAAACATGTCATTTTCTACAGTAAATCTATCCTACATGCTTCCTAGAAGAGCGCTCCTTCCTGGGAACTTAGGTTTAATGTCGCATGGATGTCCCAGGAAGAGCTTTATGGTTAATAATTTAGGAAGAACCTGTGACTGTCTCGGAAAACTGCCTTCCTCCTCTTCGTGGAAATAGCAGAAGACTGAGCCGGTGGAAGTGTGAATACCTCTTTCCCGCAGGTCATGGAGTGTGCTTGTTTTTTAGAGCAGCCGTTCTGTTTTGTGTTCCTCTCACCTTGTAAGTCAAGAAAGGGGTCATTATTATTACTATCTGGGCCCCCACTTAATCGTCAAAAGGCTCCTTGATTAATGGGAACTTAGAGAAAGTGAGGGAGTGGTTTTGAGTGCTGCTTCATCCAGGCCATCTTGCGGTGCTGTCCTCCCCATGCACAGCACTCTCCAGTGACCTCATTTGCTCCAGACCCATGGATGAGACTCCCCACGACAGCACTGGCCCCCAGCTCCAGTGCAAGCCTGCCCCTCTTGTTGATTTTGTCCTTTAGGTATGAGAATATCACTGATAAGTTAGTGGAGGCGTCCCCTCTCTTGAGTTTGCTTAGTCTAACTCTGAGGCTTGCTCTGTCCGCTGCCTGCACATAGTTGGCTGAAGGTGGCAGGCAGCCTTAGTGGGACAGTTGGAGTGTAGCAGCTCCAGGCCAGAGGCCTTGTCTGGGGAGTCCTTGGAGCCCTGGGGGGAGGGGCTGGTGCACTTCTCAGTTCCCACTAGGGCTCTGGTCCTGGTGCTCATTGCTTGTTGCCTTGTTGAAATAGGATAAAGGGAATGTAGACCCAAAACAAAGAGGAGGGAAGCGAGTTATTATGTAACTTGGAGGGGAAGAATTAGGATTTAAACTGAAACATCTGCACAAGACTCTCTCGGAGGGTAAGGGGTTAGTCTCGTTTTTCTTTGTCTCTCTAAAGCACCTAATTCAGAATTGATCCTCAGTAAGAGTTAGAACTAAGCTGTGTTTTCGTCCCATAAAGATGGTCTCAACACACAGGTATTCTAACCTAGAGACACCCATGGATTAAAATCCACTTTATAATAATCCAGGGCCCCCCTCATGAGCCTGAATCCTTTAGACTGGACATCTGTCCAGAGCGGCTGCTGCTTGCCCTTCACAGACAGAGCCAAGAGGGTGAGGCATTCTAGCCCCAGACAGACCCTCCCTGGTCCTCACGTGTGTGCCCGGCTCCAGTCAGGGGCTGGGGGCAAGCTCAGGCTCCAGCGGGGCACTTGCCCTCTCACCACACCAGTCTTCCTAGGACCCACAGAGTACCTGGCAAGGGTCTGGACGTGGTGCAGAGTTGCAGTGTTTCTGGTGTGACAGGGCAGGGCAGTTAAGAGACTTGCTCACAACCTCCCCCCCGTCCCCCCTCCCAAACATTTTCTAAGGGCAAAAGTGCAGAATGTGTTTTGGGAACATCAGATAGTCTGCAGTGGGAGGTGAGGCTGCAGGCAGAAGTTGGGAGCAGACGGGAGGCTGCGCTGAGGGGTTGGGCTTTGTTAGGGAGCCCTCGGCAGTTCTGGGAGCAGGAGGGTAACAAAATTGACTCTATGTTTTAGAGACCTACCCCTAGCAGGAGTGTTTATTTGAAGAATTCCTGATGACTAATGCTTGCCTTATAACCAGCACGGCTGCCTGCTGGGATGAATAGCTGCCTTTTCATGCAGGAAGAGAAGCAGTGGTTCTGAAAAGCCTGCACGCTGAAGCCCCCTAAAGCTGTTTGTGAAAGGAGTTGAAAGAACTGGCGCAACCAGGGAACTGACTGCATAGAGCTGAGGGAAAGCAGCGGCTCACCCCCTGCATCCGCAGCTCGATCACCTCCCGCCCCCAAATGTATCTTTTGCGCTGTTCAGATGGATACAAATACCAGCACAAGGCATCTTGGTGGTCTTTCTTGCCGGACAGGCAGTATGGTGTGTGGGTCCCGAGTGAGCACAGTCTGCCCTCCTCGGCGTGTGTGCGCACCCTCGGTCACTAGAGAGCCCTAACAGTTCCTTAGCCTGGAGACAGTGCTCACCCTTCCTTAACTGTCAAGTTCTGGTCTTTATTTTTGACCCATGCTTAATTTATTGGTGCTTTGACTAGATAGAGTGAAGTTCAGATCCAGCCTTCACCATTATAGCTCTGGGATTTGAAATAGTTCTCCTTGAATCTCAGTTTCCTCATCTATAAAATGTGGATAATAACCTAATTCTCAGAGGTATGAGGGTTAAAGGAGGTTGTCAAAGTTTATGGGCCTGTCGTAAGTGCCCAGAAATGTTGGTTGAGATCACCATCTTCATAGTCTTTCATAAGCCCTGATAGCCGGTTGCCCCTTGTGTTGCTGGCGTTGCTTGTCAACCAGAGACTCCTGTGCATTTCCAATACAATGCTTCAGACAGCCACTACTGGGGATCAGAGAAGAGAAATTGTTGAGGCAAATGCGTAAGTTCAGGTTGCAGAGGCCCAGCCTCCCCTGCCCGTCCTGCGCAGGTTTACTATTCACACAGAACTGCAGTGAACCAGAAAACTTGGGAATCTGCCCCTCTCTCTGTTCTCTGCCCAGGGATGTGATATTTGTTTTTGAGAATCTCACTGTCCTTTCATTATTTGAAACAGTTGCTTTCAATTTTTTTTTCTTGACGGTTATGTTGAATTGCTTGAATGATTTGTGAAATTGGGTGACTTAACTTTTTGAAAGCATAATTGATGCCGTGGGGTCTCGATGTGCCCGATTTTATGGTATTGTAAGGTCATGGAGTATTACATGATAATATCCCCCCCACCTCCTTTCGTTATAAATATCAGGGACCTTTGGTAACGAGGGGTACCCTGGTGATGCAAGGAGGTGGGATTTGGAGAAGACAGATGAAGATAGGAAATCTTCAGGACAGACTCAGGTTTCGAGTAGGAGTGTCTGGCCCTCACTGTGTGGTGGACATGGTGGTCATCAGTGACGTCTTCCACTGTCGATGTTTATGCAGTCTGGTTCCGTTCATAATGTCCTCTCAGGGCAGAGACCAGCTGCTCTCTCTTCCAGGAGCCCTTTCCTGAAGCTCCTGCAGCTCGGGGCTGGTGAGATTTTTGTGGGGTAAGGGCTCTTAGGGTAAGGGCTAGGGTGGCCCTGTGCCATGGCTGTGTGGGTGCCACTCTCTCCCCTAGGAGGAGCAGTTGGTGGCCAGGATCCTAGCAGGGCACTGGACTAGTCGGTGAGGGCTGGGTAGAGGGCTGCCCTTGCAAAGGAGAAGCCCTTCTGGGGCAACCATCGCTTCTCGTGTCTTCCCTCCGCTAGGGCTTGGAATAGGAAAGAAGGAATCTTAGAGCCTGTTATAATGGAAAGATTTGGGGCTCTAAAGTCAGGTAGAGCTGAGGTCCAGTCTCAGCCATGCCACTAGCTCTATGATTTGGTTCCTCCTGTAAAATGGAAGTGATGGCAGCTAACCTCAGAGATTGTGAGTCTGAAAGGAGAATGTGCCATAGGAGCCCTGTAGGGTACCTGACAGCAGGAGCTCAGGACTTAGAAGCTCTTTGAGCCTTTGTCATTCCCCTGGTGCAGGGTTGACACAGGTGAGGAGATGCATGGCGTACGCCTAAGAAGCTCTTAGTCCTACGGGAGATGCAAGCTTGTAAACAAAAATCATTGTGATACCTCATGGTAAGTGCCTTAATAGAAGTTTCGACCAGTGCTTTGATGCTCCAAGGAGGGAGCCTCCAGCCATGGAAGTGATGTGCAAGACGTGAGGGAATGCTCTTGAGGGTAGAGAGGTGGGGAAAGCTGAGTGCCTCCACGGCTGCCCGCCAGAGCTGTAAGAACAAAGAGGCTGCCAGCTGTGGGCTGTGGGGGGCATTTCCCACGTTCCATCTGCCTAGAATGCCCTTTGACACTCTACTCTTCCCAGACCCCTGGGCCACCTCTAAGCCTTCCCACAGCCCTACAGGTGTCCAGTGGCTGTGGTGTCCCCGCAGACTTTGGACCGTCCTCTCCTAGAGCAGGAGTGTGATGATGATTTGCATATCTGTATGCGCCCCTCCCGTTTGGAGCCCCTGAAGGCCTGTCCCTCACCATTGCTGTTTTTGGTGACTCGACTGCCCAGCCCAAGGCCTCTGCCTTCAGAGCGGTCCAGTGCATGATAAGCGAAGGGTTTCATCTGGAGTCCTTTCCGCGAACTCTGGGTTCGTCTGGATCTGCATGGTGAGTGTTGAGCAGAGTCCTCTCCACATTGTGAGCAGGGCTTCAGTGGTAGCTCCTCGTCTGAACTGATAGCCTGTTGCTTTTCTTTGGTGGGTATCATCAACAGATGATGGGAGTTGAAAGCATTAGGAAAAAAGCCAGTGGGGGTACCTCACCTGCCACTTGGTCATGGCGTAGGGCTTTGTTAGGAAGTTCATGTTGTTTCCTCCGTGAACACCAAGGGCCCCCTCAGTGTCGCTGCAGGTTTCTCAGGTCACCACAAAGCATAGCTTCACTATTGTCAGTGGCTTTGCAGGCCACGAAGCCCAGGGTAGCCCAGTCCAGGGAAGGATGGCTGCTCCCTAATTGTGCGTGCTGCCTCCCTGAACACCTGCACCTTTTGGCCTTGCTTTTTCTAGTGCCTCCGTCTCCCAGAATCTTTACATGAGAAAATATAGCAGGGACGGACAGGCAGCTCCCGCTCACCCCCAAACCTAACCTGATCAATTCTCTAAATGACCTCTTCCACTCTCTCTCCTACCCAGTTCTTGTATAAACCCACTGGAAAGTATTTAACTCCTAAAGTCATTTGCCGTGCTTTCTAAGAAAAATGGTACTGTGCCTCACTGCCTTAAGTCTGGCTCTGGCATACTGGAGGCAGCAGGTGTTTTCCATCATTCTGAGGATAATAAGATGAAGGTGCAGGTTTTCTTTTACTCATACCAGGCAGACTCACCTTTGGGTACACTCCTGCTGTTGGCAGAGGAGCTGGTAGACAGTCTCACTCCAGCAGTTGAGGAAGAATGAGGCAGGAGGAGGATCCTGGTGACGTGCCCACAATGAGGGGTGCCTCCTGGGAGACCTGGACAGTGGTTGGGAACAGCACAGGAACTTGTTTATTCAGCAGTTTCACCTTCTGACAGCAGGTCAGAGATTGTCAGCACTGCTGTTCTCCGGAATCACCTGTGGAGTGAAAAATGCAGATGCCCTGCCTTCTCCCAGATTTTGGGTTCAGTAGCTCTAGGGTGGGGTCTGGAGAGCTGTACTTTTAAGAAGCTCCATAGCAGTTTCTGATGCTCAGCCAGGGCTCAATGCCACTTCCAAAACACTGGGCCCTGAAACAGGAATGAGCCCCATTCTCCCCTCCCCTCCCAGTCCATGGTGGGGAGAGAAGACAAGCAGATGTAGTAATAGGCACAAAGGAGGGCTGTCCTGGAAGAATTAGGGAGGGTTTCCCAAGGAGGAGTCATTGCCCTGGGAGTCGGCGGCTCCAGGCTGGGCGCCAGCCGCAGGAACAGTGTTTGTGCTGGTTGGAGTGGAGATGCCTCGTGGTGGGGTGGGCAGGTGGGGTGAGGCAGAAGCCCGCAGAGCTCAGGAAGGACTTCCAGGATCGTACTCGGAAGAGTCTTCTGTTTACTCTCAAGCCATTGAAGGGCCAACAGAGGAACCCCAGAAGAGAATGGGGGCTTGTGTTAGTTTAGTTCATTTCCAATTTTAACAGTTTCTGAATTTGACATTTTTATTGTTGCAAGTGTGATGAATATATATTTGGTCTTTGTCCCTGGTACACAGTTCCTAAAACCCTTGGAATTTCCTGAGTGATAAGGGTGATAGGAGCTGCTTTTGTTCTAATGAGGCCACTCTTGGTGGGCCCCTAGGTAGCTTCAGGTTGGGGCTGCTTGCCAGAAGGACCTAGGCATGATTAGCTGGTTGGAACTTGTAGCCCCACCCAACTCCCCACCTGGACTCCAGGGAGGGGAGAGGGGCTGGAGATGGAGTTAGTCATCAATGGCCAGTAATTTAATCAGTCATGGTCATGTAGTGGAACCTCCATAAAAACCCCTATGCAGTGGGGTTTAGAGAGCTTCTGGGTTGGTGAAGACATCCACGTGCCAGGAGGGTGGTGTGCCCAGAGAGGGCATAGGCACTCCACACCCCTTCCCCATACCTTGCCCTTTGCATCTCTTCTGTTTAGCTGTTCCTGAGTTATATTCTTTATAGTAAGCTGGTAGTGGTAAGTAAGCTGTCTTCCTGAGTACTGTGAGCTGTTTTAGCAAATTGCCGAACTTGAGGGGAGCATGGGTCAGAAGGACAGGCAGCCCCGGATTGGGACCGGCGTCCGCAGTGAAGGCAGTCTGTGGGACCCAGCCCTTCACCTGTGGGGTCTGTGCTAACTCCAGGTAGTTAGTGGTAGAATTGAACTGTAGGACACCCAGTTGGTGTCTAGAGAGTTAGAAAATTGGTTGGCGTGAGGAAAAACCCCACGCATTGGTGTCAGAAGTGTTGTGAGTAGAAGCAGTTCAGGGGCCAGACCCGTGGATGAGTGGTTAAGTTCACATGCTCTGCTTCAGCGGCCCAGGGTTTCGTCGGTTCGGATCCTGGGCGCGGACGTGGCAGCGCTCATTGGGCCATGTTGGGGCAGTGTCCCACGTGCCACAACTAGAAGGACCCACAACTAAAAATACACAATTATGTACTGCGGGGGCTTTGGGGAGAAAAAGGAAAAATAAAATCTTTAAAAAAAAAAAGAAAGAAACAGTTCAGACAGAGTGACTGTTTTTCTTTTTTATCGAGTCTTCGTGTCATCTGTTAGTCCACTAGCTGCAAGGCAGACCTGCTTGTTGGCTTTCTTGCTCCCGGCCCAGTAGGGGTGTCTGCCAGCACTGGAGGCATGAGGCTGCTGGAGGCCAGCTGGGCGCCCTTTGCTAACCATTTAGCCTCGCCAAGCCTGTGTCCGCCGCTGCAGAATGGGCATATAATGGACACTTCACACAGCGCTGAGAGGGCTGGTGGAGAGCGGGGGCCTGGGAGAGCTTTGGAGACCGAAGTTGCTCTTCAGATGTGTGAGGGTGTGATATTTTGGGGATATTTGATTGACGTCATTTGGAGGTTATTGTCCATAAGGGTGTCTTAAAACACCTGATCTAGGGAGCAAAACTAGGGAGACCAGCAAGACTAGGGAGTCTTGGGTAGTGAAAGAGACCACCAGGCCCTCCTTCCCAATTCTGTTTACAACGTGTAGTTAAAGCCACAAACTAGGGAAGAAGTCTCTACATAGGTTTAATTGTTTCCTCAGGCAGGAAGCAGCTTTCTGTTTCTCCACGGCCACCTCTGTTCCCAGTATTACCACAGCTCTCCTTGCGTGGGCTACTGCTGATGTCCAGATCCACTTAATATTGCCATTTTCTTTGCAGGCTCAATGCCAGACCAGGGGTTGGAGGTGTCCGGTCTCGTGTTGGGCTACAGCAGAGCCTCCTCAGCCAGCCAGCACGCACAACCGCCTTCCAGCAGAGGTTTGATGCCCGGCAGAAGATTGGCCTCTCGGATGCCCGGCTCAAGCTGGGAGTCAAGGATGCCCGGGAAAAGCTTTTGCAGAAAGATGCCCGGTTCCGGATCAAAGGGAAAGTGCAGGATGCCAGAGAGATGCTGAACTCCCGCAAGCAGCAGAGCACGGCACCCCAGAAGCCCCGCCAGGTGGCCGATGCCCGAGAGAAGATCAGCTTGAAGAGAAATTCCCCTGCTGCCTTCATGAGCCCACCCGTCGGGACAGTGACCCCTGCTCTGAAGCTCACTAAAACCATCCAGGTAGCCTATGGCTCTTGTCATGAATTCCCAGAAGCCAGTTACAACTGCAGCTTGAGGCAGGGTGCAGGGACCCAGGAGTGTTTGGACAAAATGACAATTCTCCTAAGTGTTTGTATAGTAACCATATGAGGAAGGCAAGCTGTTGTCTCAGTTTTATGTAAAAGGAAGGGGGGGTCTGCTGGAGGTAAGTGACTTCCCCAAGTGCCATTGTGGTGGAGGGACGAGAGGGGAAGGACAGAGCATTTGCTGAGCACGTGCTACGTGGCAGGCACATAACATGTATGACCTTAGTTGTTCCTCACTGCAACCCTGGGATTATCACCCCAGTTTATAAAAGAAGAGTCTGAGGCCCTGAGATGTGAATTGTGCCCAAAGTTACACAGCCGGTCAGTGCAAGGGCCAGAGTAGGAGCCCAGTCAGACCTGGCTCCTAGTGCTGGGCCTGGCCACCTGCACAGCCGCCGCCCAAAGGGAGCGGAACAGTATCATTTAATCTGCACAGCAACTTTGGGAACGGGAAGAGCCGCCACAGCAAACATTTATGGAGTCGGGTTCCTTGAGCCCTGCACGTGCGTTGTCACCTGGTCCCTGGGAAGGCGGGTCTTCCTGTCACTCTCCTGCTTTGGACTTGAGGCACTCTCTAGGGCCTTTTACCATAGACCAAAACTGTGTCCCCACCATCTTTGTGGGATGAGTTATGACTCCTGGGTGTTTCTAGGTTCCTCAGCAGAAGGCCATGGCACCACTTCATGCCCATCCTGCTGGAATGAAGATCAATGTCGTCAATAACCACCAGGCCAAGCAGGTAGAATGTGTATGTAATTTATGTGTGATTTATGTGTACGAGTGTGTAAACATACTCACTTGTGTTTTCATGGGAGGTACTGGGTGAATTAACTGAGGCCTGGCCCAAGGTTCCCACTTTGAAGAGTTGGAGGATGGGTTATAGTTGGCTTTCTGCAGTTTGAGTTTTAAGAAGAAACTTCTTAAGTGGAGGAGGTGATACATAAGGGGCAGAGAGGCAAATTAAAAGTCTTTATTATTTTTTTATGATAAAAGTAGCATGTGCTTGGGGCTGGCCCAGTGGCATAGTGGTTAAGTTCTGACACTCTGCTTTGGCGGCCTGGGGTCCGCAGGTTCCGATCCTGGGTGCAGACCTCACACTTCTCATCAAGCCATGCTGTGGCGACATCCCACGTAAGATAGAGGAAGATGGGCACAGACGTTAGCTCAGCAACAGTCTTCCTCAAGTGAAAAGAGGAAGATTGGCAACAGATCTTAGCTCAGGGCCATTCTTCCTCACCAAAAAGGAACAAAAAGTAGTATGTGCTTAATATAGAAATATTAAATAGAGAAAGATTAAGAAGAGAAAAAGAGTTCCTCAGGCTCCTGCACTCCAAAGCCAGCCACTGTGGAAATTCTGCCCTGGTTCCTGCCTGTTTTGTTGGTTCTTTAAGTTGTCATTGTTATTTATTTAATGCCTACTGTAGTTGTGGTTATATTGTTATCCAATTTTGTGTCATTCTGTTTTCACTTTATAACTGAAGCATTTTTATATGGTTGATAGTTACTCTAAGCATTTTTAATAATCACATAATCCTTGAATTGACGTTTCAGTTTATTTAAACCATTTTCTTGTGATTTTCACTGTTAGAAATCCTTCTCTGAACGTCTTTGTGGATAAAGCTTTTTCTAGGGTTTGGGTTGATTTCTGTAGGCCAGATTGCCAAAGGATATAAGCAAACATTTTAGGGACTCTTGATGGGTACTGCTCACTTGTAGGAAGGTACTTCAGATGTACCTGGAGGCACTTTGATCGGGCCCTTGTGGGCCAGGAGCCAGCCTCCCAGGACATGAGCCCCAGCCTCCCAGGACATGAGTCTCCCCAGGCACTTCCCCTGTGCCCACTTCTCCCTTGGCCTCACACGTTCCAGTAGTCATCTGCTCGCTGTCCTCACTCCAAATGTCTGTTGAGAACTTGCATGCCACGTTAGCTTCTGTCTCTTTATTTTCAGAATTTATACGACCTAGATGAAGACGAAGACGTCGTAGCTCCCACTCCTAGTAAACAGATGAAATTCACCACCTCAGGCAGCTTTCTCCACCACGTGGTAGGGCATTTTCTGCTTTTCCTACACTCACTCTGTGTCTGATCAGGTGGATGGGGAAGGTGGTGGAGAGTAGGGCCTTTCAATTCAAAAGTATTTCTTCATTTGGGTCATAAGATGTTCAGAGCTGGAACTAATCAAGCACTCGTTCTATAAATGCTGAGCGCAGGGTGTCCAGTGACTCGTCAGAGCGCCCACGGCTAGCGAAGGGCAGAGCTGCAGCTCCCAGTTGCTGTGTTTGATTCCCCTTGGGGGAAACGGGTGCGCCCCACAGAAGGGAATCCTGTTTTCTTCCCTTTCTGGCAGGACGCTCTGTATGTTCCCCTTCCCTCTTGATCAGCACTCCGGCCCCGTTCTTGAATCTGGATTCCCTTGGCTGGTGTGTAGCAAGAATAAGCTGAACCTTGCCTGTGGGCTCTGCCATTGCAGCCTGCATGCAGGGGAAGCTTGTTGACTAGGATGCTGGTCAGATACCATGCAGAGAAGGAAAGAGAGCAGTATCAGTATGGGAACATCAGGGAGGTCTGCCCGGCTCAGCTCATGGGTATAACAGATACAGACAGGAGGCCACTGGGTACCCAAGCCAAGTGCCTTTGTTTGGCCTTCAGAGGCCCAAAGACTCAGTTTTGGGTACTGCATTGAATGTGCAGTGTAATTTCCTGGTTACCCTCGAAGCTCTTAAAGGGATGTGGGAAGCTGAGTGATCCAGTGTGTTACAAAGGGGCTGGGCCTTTCCAGTGATTAGACTGCTCGGGTCTGCACCAGGGGGCCTGTCAGCCAGCTCAGTTAGTGGCTAACCCTAACTGCAAACACGCTGTGTTCTTACTAACTCATGTAAGACTGCCCTTCCCTCCGTCCTTGTGAGATGGGTACTGTTATCACCCCTGGTTTATGGATGAGGAATGAGGCACAGAGAGGTTAAACACACCTGCTCAGTATCACCCAGCTTGTAAGTAGTAGTGGATCCAGGAGTCAAGCCTAAGCAGTCTGGCTCCGGGGCCACGGGTTTACACCATACTGGCCCTCGAGGCTCAGGAAGCGGCTTGAGAAACGTGGAATCCAGCAAGGGGGGAGCATTTCAGCTAGACTCGGAGAAGCTGGTAGATCAGCCCGCCCCATACTCTGCCTCTCTGGCTGCTGCATTCCTCCGTCGTCCCTGAGTCAGTACCTGCTAGACCCTATCCTAAATCAGCAAGGCCACCTGCCACTTGTGCCTCATGCATCTTTGTCCTCAGACGCATTAATAGCCGGGAGTTCACTGGTTTATATTTCCAAGGGACCACATCCCGCCTCGGGGTAGCAGGGGAGGGAGGGACCTGTTACTGCTGGTCTGCACATACCAGCTCTGCCAGCACGTCCCTGACAGTCTGGAAGCTGGTGAGGCCGGGGCTATGTGTGGAGCCTTTGTGTGGCCGCAACAGGGACCGAAAAGCTGTGAATCTGGGCCTTAAGAGTGGGTTCCTATGCCCAGCCAGTCCAGAGCTGATGATCAGCCCATCGTGATAGAAGCATATTTGGGAATGAACATGACCCCAAGCTTTTGGCCTTTTGACTGGCCCCAAATTGTAGGGTTTGTATAAAGTCTAAATGGTGTGGGTGAGCCGGTGTCTCCTGGTCAGGGCTGCATGGAAGCTTCCTGCCAAGAGCTTCTAACCCTGGAAGGTGGCTTCTGTGCAGGCCGTGTGTTTTCTGTCCTCCCGCCCCTTCCCTGTGGCATGTTACTGGCAGCCGGCAGCCTTTTTGGCTCCAGACTGGTAATGGAACTGGGGAGCTGGGAGGCCTCGAGGGTGCTGGTTGTCAGCCCCTTGGGGCATCGAGGTCTCCGGCCTCTCAGATTCCTGTCTGCCTCTTTGTTTAGGCCGGGCTGAGCAGTTCCAAGCTTTCCACATCGAAGGCCCTCCCTCTCACCAAAGTGGTTCAGAATGATGCGTACACAGCTCCTACTCTCCCCTCTTCTGTTCGAACAAAAGCCTTGACCAGCATGTCCCGGACGCTAGTGAACAAGGAGGAGCCCCCCAAAGAGCTGCCGCCTGCTGAGGTGAGGGCAAGGTGAAGGGGTGGAAGAGACTCAGCCTGTGCTGGGTGGGTGGTGTGCTGTGTGTACCCTGTTGAGTCCTCACAGCGCCTCTGTGAAATGGGCTTTGCCACTCCTCTTTACAAGGGAGCACACCGAGACCCAGTGGCCCCTACTTGCAGGCGAGTGGGGAATACAGAGCTGCAGACGAGCACTGTGTCTGCTGACACAACAGAGGTCTGCTCAGAAGAGTGCTGTTGGGAGCACTGAGAAGAGAGCATCTAATTCCGTTGGGCAGATCCGGGAAAGCTTTAAGGAGAAAGTGCCGCCTGAGCTGCGTGGGTCTTGAAACATGAGTGGCGTTCCAGGCAGAGCTCAAAGACCTGAAAGGACCTGGCATGTTTGGGAAATGATAAGAGGTTCCATGCCTTAGCATCGGGTGATGGGCGTGCTGGGCGCTGAGGTTGGAGGGGCCTGGTTGTGACGGGCTCTCCGTGATCGTTCCCTCCGGGCCTCCCTCGTGTTTCCCTGGAGTGAGTGCTGCTGTTTGAGTGCACAGCTCTTCTTTGATTTCTGGTAATGCTCTTGTCTGGCAGCCTGTCCTCAGCCCTTTGGAAGGCACCAAGATGACTGTGAATAATCTGCACCCTCGAGTCACCGAGGAGGACATTGTTGTAAGTACTGTGGCCTGCCAGAATTTAAAATCTCAAACCACTTCTCTGTCGGGAGTCCCTGAGACCAACCCCAGGTTCACTGATTCTCTGGGAGAACTCATAGGATGCAGCATAGAGTCGTATCAGGGCCAAGATTCCTTACAGGGCACAAAGCAGAATCAGCAAAAGGAAAGGCTCATGGGACAAAGGCTAGGGGAAACCAAGCACAGCTTGCAGAGTCCTCTCCCAGTGGAGTCACACAGGATGCACTTTACTCCCCCAGCAGTGAGTTGTGACGACACACGTGAAACCAGGGAAGCTCCTTAGACAGTCAGGGCTCAGGGTGTTTACTGGGGCCTGGTCACGTAGGCACTCTGCCTCACGCGTACCAAAATTCCAGACTCCCAGAAGGAAGGCAGGTATTGAGTATAAACCGCAAGTGTTGGCACAAACAGCTTAGGCACAGTGAGCCACTCTTCTCGATTAGGGTAGTTGGAGCCCTCCTAGAAGCCAAGTTCCCAGACACCAGCCAAGGGCCTACCTCGGAAGCAGGCCTTCTAAAGGATAGCATTCAGGCTGGCAGTGTTAGCTCTTTTCCTCCCAGCTTCTAAACCAGGGCCAGGTGTCCGGCCTGACTCTCAGGGCCAGGGCATTGTGCTGGAATGGGTCTTGAATGGGATCCTTTAGTCCCACTGTGCAAAATCTGGTGGTTCATATTTTCCCACGAGTCTTTGGAACTTCTGCCTGCTTTAGAGGTTTTCGTTATGATTCAAAGTAAAAGGAATGAGATGGGTTGGTGTTAGCTAGTGGTTGGCCCCTCTGGATTGCCTTTCTGGGCCATCCTCTCCCACTCTTGGCAGTCATGGGCAAAGCCTAATTCAGGTGCCTGGTGAGGGGGTGCCCAGATGTAGCCAGGACTTCTTTTCAACCTTGTTTTCATTCAGGCACCAAAAAAAAGCTGTAAGTTTAATAATCCAGGTACCCTTTTAACTCTGAACTGTCACATCACAGAATGAGTGTAACTGGCTTCCAGCCTCTCCCTGCACCTGAGTCCCAGGTTCTGTAACAGCCACACTGGCCACCATGTTTGTTAATGATTTTAATTGTGAAATACGTGAGTGCTGTGTGGTTGCTTTTAGAACGAAGCAGGCATGCCAGTGAACAGTGCACACAAGAATGGAAATTGCAACCTACTTTGTGTAATACTTGACAAGTTTTAAAGAATTAAAACAATTTTTTTCCTGATTAGAAAATAATAGCCATCATTTACTGAGTACTCACTGTGTGGCAGGCACTTTGTATGCAGGATCTTTAAGAATACTGAATAGTGAAAAAGGAAACAGCTGTAATGATCACCACTCAGAATAAACTGCCAGTAATAGTCACCCTCGCCTCTTTTCTACCCAAATAGGTAATGTTAAAATTTAAGAACAGCAGTAGTAAAATTGGGATCACACTTAGTATTCAGTTCCATGTCTTGGTTTTGATATTTAACATTTTCCGTTTTATCATTAGAAACAAATCATCTCAATGACCTCTTCATGAGTCTTCTCTTTGTCCCCATAACCTTGTGAAGGCCAGTTGCCCGTGAAGAAATGGCTCAGGCGCTAGTTGGCCTCTGTGGTCCATCGCGACATTGTGTTCCCTCTCTGCCCTCAGTCTCCTGGTCTGTAAGATGAGGAGAGACTGAAGTAAATGACGATGGTAACACGTGTGTACTGCCTTAAGAATGCTTTCATTTGCACTTTTAGCAACCGTGAGAGGTAGGCTAGACCAGTCCTTTTCTTCTTTTCAGAAGAGAAAACTCACCCTCAGAGAAGTTAAATAACTTACTTGAAGCCACACAGCTGATAGGAGGCAGAGCCCCAGGGATCAAACCCAGGTCTCTGACGTAAGGTGACCAACTGTCTTCATTTTGCTGGAGACTCCTGGTTAGCACTGAAAATCCCATGTCCTGGGAAGTCCCTCAGTCCAGCCAAACCGGGATGGTTGGTCACCCTGTGTAGAACTCCAGAGTTTGTGTTTCTAACAGATTCCCAGGTGACATATTAGCCACTATCTTTGATGAACCTAAACATTCATTCTCATGACAGAGCTCTCTGAGAGAAAGTCCATATTCCATGACTATTCTTCTTGTGGAGGAAGTGGATACTGAGGCAGGAGGACTTTGGGGGTGACTTGCTGAAGGTCACAGGGACTCCAAGCCTTATAAGCCCAGACCTATTTCTCCCTGCCAGCACAGCTTGTCTCCTTATCTGGTCCCATGTTGAGGCCCATGGATGTCCCAGCAACACCACCTAGAATGGAGCCTCCCTGAAATCTCGGGCACTGGGCGTATTCAGCTGGAGTGCAGCCATCACTCAACCCAGAGCCCTCTGGAGTGTGTGAGTGGCAGGCAGGGTGACAGCCTGCAATTCTCCCCGAACACCAGCCCCTCTTGTTCTTTGCAGGAGCTTTTCTGTGTGTGTGGAGCCCTCAAGCGGGCTCGGCTGGTCCATCCTGGGGTAGCAGAGGTGGTCTTTGTGAAGAAGGATGATGCTATCACTGCATATAAGAAATATAACAACCGGTGTCTGGACGGTAAGTAGAGGGAAAGCAGCCACCTCACCTTCCTGCTTCTCACTGTCAGGCAGTGGGCATTTGGAGCAAGCCTTCCTCTGAGATGGGTGGGAAGACATCCTGGTGCACTCAGCCTTCTGGAGCCTCCTCTGCACCGAGAACAGGCAGGGATGTGCAGTCTCCTGGTAGTACTAAGCTGCCTCTTCCACAGGACCCTGGGTTTTCACTCAGCCCTAGCACTTAAGTCTAGCGAGCAGAAAAACACCATTTCTCCCTGGATCGTTCTCTTAAGAGATCTTTGCCAGGGAAGCCAAGAGCCATAGCCTCCCCCTTCCAGTGGTTGGTCTGCTTACAGCTTGGTCTCGGGTTCCAAATGTTGGCACCTGGGTGCACTCTGCTCTTAGTGAGTAAATTACCGATTTTACCTCATTCAGATGCACGTTATTCATCTCAGGATAGCCTGTAGAGGGAAACTGCCTGCCAGACCCCTTCTAGCCACTGATTTGTTCCGTCAGTGATTGTTGAGTGCACTTGTGGGCGAAGGCCCTGTGCCAGAAGTGGAGATGCCATTACTGAGAAAACAGTCAGTGGGATTTTGATTTGCGTTTGCTGAATGGCTAATGATGTTGAGTATGTTTTCATGTGCTTGTTGGATGTGTGTATATGTTGGAGAAATGTCTGTTTGGACTATTTGCCCACTTTTTAATTGAGTTTAAAAGAATTCTTTATATATTCTTAACATGTCTCTTATCAGATAACTGATTTGCCAGTATTTTCTCCATTATGTACGTTGTCTTTTCACTCCTCTTTTTAATCTGTGCATTTACAGCTATATATTTCCCTCTAACCACTGCTTTAGCTGCATCCCGTACATTTTGGTATGTTGCATCTTTGTTTTCATTCATCTCACAGTATTTTCTAATTTCCCTTGTGATTTCTTTGACCCATTGGTTATTTAGGATTGTTTTTTTTAATTTCCATATATTTCTGAATTTACCAAATTTCTTTCTGTTCCATGAGTGTTTGAGGAGAATATATATTTTGCTGCTGTTGGGTAGATGTCTATTTTAGGTCTAGTTGGCTTATAATGTTGTCTTCTTTTTCTTTGTTGATTTGCCTGTTTGTTCTGTCCATTACTGAACGTGAAGTATTGAAAACTTCAACAATTATTGTTTGTTTACTTCTTTCAATTCTGGTAGTTTTTACTTTGTGTATTTGAGGTTATGTTAGTTGCATATACGTTTATAAGCATTTTCTTCCTGATGGATTGACCCTTTTATAATTATAAAATGTCCCTCTTTCTCTCTACTTAACATTTTTTGTTTTAAAGTCTATTTTGTCTTATATTAGTATAGCCACTCTAGCTTTCTTAGGGTTGCTGTTTGGGTGATGTCTTTTTCCATCCCTTTACTTTCAACCTTTTTGTGTCTTTGAATCTGAAGATAGCATATAGTTGGATCTTTTTTTTAAATCCAGTCTGACAGTCTCTGCCTTTGGTTGGATTACATTCACTTTTAATATGACTTTGCATTACATGAATATTTTCTAGTGTAACATTTTAGTTCCTTTAATGATTTTTTCACCATTTTTTTTGAGTCACTTTCTTAATGGTTGCTCAAGGATTTACAGTATATATCATAGTTTATCGGAATCTATTTCAGATTAACATTGATTCCAGTGACATAGAAATGTTACTCCTGTATGGCTCCATTCCCTCTTCCCCTTTTTTTGTGCTGTCATTGTTATACTTAGCACATATTATGTAAAGTGGGCGTGCGGTACTTGTAGCAGTTAATCCTTCATGGACAAAGTGGAAGTCCGTCCATACATATACTTTTGAATCCACTTTTCACTTAATTTCATAACGTAAACATTTTCCCTTACTGCTTGCTTCACAAACAAGTTTCTCCCTTAGTTGGACTCTTATCTCCTGCATGAAGCAAGGTCTCGTGCCACTTTGCTTCTTGGTGCTATCACTGCAAAGGTTTCATGGACCTCATGCTCTGGGGTTTTCTTAGTCTCTGAGTTTTGCTGAAACCTGGCAGCCCCATCCCCAGCCGTGGAGCCAGAGCTGCCAGTGGTGGGTGCTTTGACCCCAGGTGGTAGAGGTGGTAGCCCTTGTCCTTTTGCCTGAGGAGCTGAAATCTCATGGCAGATCTTTTCTTTTCTGGTTTTTCAGGACAACCAATGAAATGCAACCTTCACATGAATGGGAATGTTATCACCTCAGACCAGCCCATCCTGCTGTAAGTTCCAAAGGCAGAGGTGCTGGGGAGCGGGTGGAGCTTTTCTGCTTGCTTATTACTCTACGTGATCCTCTCTTTATTCTGAGGGGTAAATTGCCTGCATCACAGCTCCATTTCATTTCCTCTGCTCTGATGGCAGGTGGTCAGTCAGGGTGCTAAAATTTGTACGGAGTAGGTTGTCTCATTTCCACGGGGACTTCCCAGGGGCTAACATTTAAGACTTCATTCCCAGCCTTCTAATTTAGAAACACCTGAGAAGAAAGTGGAGAGCAGGCCAGTTGTGTCCCTCTTTGCCACAACTGTGTGCATTGTCTAAGTGAATGGAAGACTCGGCCTCCTTGTCATTGACTCTGATGGGGACAGTGCCAGGTGCTACCCCTCATTTTGTTACACACACCTGGGCATATGTGCCTGACCTGGGACTAAGGAATTTTTTGGAGCCTGAGACGTATAAAATGTCTAGACTGACATGACATCCTTTTATAATAAAGACAAGGAGACAGAGACCTTGCAAGGGTATTAGACTTGCCAAGGTGGGTGGGGTAATGTGAGGCAGGCCTGAAACAGACTGTGAAACTTAGAAAGACCAGAATTTGAACCCTGGATATTAAATTGTGTGATTTAGACAAGTTTCTCAAATGATGTTCCAGAAGTAGGTTGTATTCTGAAAAACGTCTATCGATTTCTTTACTTCAAGATTTTGGGGCTGGCCCCGTGGCCGAGTGGTTAAGTTCACATGCTCCGCTGTAGGCGGCCCAGTGTTTCGTTGGTTCCAATGCTGGGTGCGGACATGGCACTGCTCATCAAACTACCCTGAGGCAGCGTCCCACATGCCACAACTAGAAGGACCCACAATGAAGAATATACAACTACGTACTGGGGGGGTTGGGGAGAAAAAGGAAAAAAAAAAAAAAGATTTCTCACAATGCATAATATACTAATGTGTGTGTGACCATCGCAGGGGCACATGCAGTGTCTCCTAAACTTAATATCCCACAACACAGCAAGCTGCATCTCAATTTTGTCATCAGCAAATTAAAAAATGAAAGGTTTGTTACAAGATGAAATGAGATAAGGGGGTACAGAAAGCATTCCATTTGCCGCCTAGCTTACCACAGGTGCTCAGTAAATGCTGGGTCCCCTCCCCGTCTAAGGGAAAACTGACAGGGATTTTGACTCTTCTCTGCCCTCCGCAGACGGCTGAGTGACAGCCCCTCGGTGAAGAAGGAGAGTGAGCTGCCTCGCAGGGTGAATCCTGCCGCGTCCTCCAACCCCCCTGCCGAAGTGGACCCTGACACCATCCTGAAGGCCCTCTTCAAGTCCTCAGGGGCCTCTGTGACCACACAGCCCACAGAATTCAAAATCAAACTTTGAGCAGGGGCGTGAGGCAGCCAGAAGCAGGGGCAGAGGAGGGTGGCTCTGTTTCCCAAAGCAAAGCCTTGACCAATGGGCCATTGGACTGGAGGCCCCTGAGCGTGGGAAGGGTCACTGGGGGCAGAGAGCTTCCTCACTGGACGGAACCCACCTTTCCGTGTTGTCTTCTACCCTGTGCTCTTGTGTACATTAACATTCCCTGTAGTATGTTTCTTGCCCCTCCACCTCATCACCAAGGTAGGCTCGTGTTGCTCAGAGTCTCTCTCCCCCAACCTCAGCCCCAAACTGATTTCTTGTCTGGAAATGGTGCCCTAAATTCTCTGAGTGGCTTTCTTGTGGCCCCGTGGAACGCAGGGCAGGGGCTGTTTGAAGGACACTGCTTTCTCCAGGGGTGAGGGGTTGCCTCCCCTGTCTCTTTTTTAAATTTTTCAAACAAAGCGGGGAATGGAAGCCCCTGCCATCCTAATGGGAGCCAGGTTAGCTTGAGAGCCGTGCCACTCACCCACCGGCTCAATGGAGATGGCCCTGGGCGGGGGTCAGCTCGCAGGCCTCTTGTCCTCTCCCCATGACTGGCTCCAGACCATTCTGGTAAGGAGAGGGCCCCCAGCTCTTGCCTTGGAGGCCCATGCTGTCACAGGTGACCCCGAGTAAATTCTCACATTTCACTTTTCCCTTGGGTTATGGTCTGTGCCCCACTCAGCTCTTGGCCTTCTGGGTGTCCCCGCTGAGAGGGGCTTACACTGTTAGCCCTCCCAGTTCTCACTAGCACAGCCCTCATCTCACTCTGGTTTTGGTGCAAATGCCAGCTCTCTGCTAGTTGGGTTTTTCAAAGAGTCCGCCTCGTGTTTTATGACACAGGGATTGGGTTTGGAGGAGTCCTTGAATGGGAGATGGAGGCTTGCTCCTGGCTCTTTCTTTCTGGCCTCAGGTGTCTGCAAGATAATAGGGATGCTGAGAGGCATATATCCAGCTGCCACCAAGGGGCACTGTCTCCACTATTGGGAGACCCATCCCAATACCCATGACCAGAGGGGTATTTTTCCTGCCTTGGCGGTGTGGGGAGGGAGGGAGTTGAGAGAGCAGAGTAGCCCTTCCAGGAGAGCTGGGGGCTTGTTCCTTTGGCGTGGTTCCAGGCAGTTGGGACAAAACTAGAACCCAGGGGCAGCCCCTGAATACCAGGAGCGCATTGCTCCGTGTCATGCGCAGTCTCCTCCTGGCTTGCTGGGACTGGAAAGGAGATCCAGGCTGGCGGACTGGAGCAGGATGCTGGGAGCACTACAGAATCATAGCAAGTGCTGTGAAGGGCACAAACCTAGGAGGTAGAGGGGACCTGAGACATTAAGAGCCTCTGCTGACTGTATGGGGCCAGCCTGGTGAAGAAAAACCTGGAAACTCATGTTTTCACTGAGTTAAATCTGTCAAGCAGGAAGGACCCAGGGTTTGAACCCAGCCCAGTCCTCCAGCTCAGAGGTGGCCCAGGCCTGGGATGTCCAAGGAATGTGCCTGCTGGTGCTCCACTTTCCAGCTTTTTTAAGAATGCTGCTCTTGTTCTCTCTCTCCCCCTTTCAACGGGTGCAAACTTACTTCTCTTCAGCAGCTGGAAGACATTCCTCCTACACTGTCCCTTCTTGGCCCAAGGGAGCACCCACAAGGCAGTAGGACCTGGTTTCTCAGGTACTGGGCACAGTTGGATCACTGCTTGGACTTGCTTTGAGTAGGGTTGGTAAATATCCTGCCTGCATGGCTTTACCCTCCCCTCTCCCTCCAGTCCCAGCCAGGCTGCTCTGGTTACCAGAGTCCCACTGACCCCAGCCGCAGCCGCCTGGCTGGCTGGGCCCTGTCCTCTGGATAACTGTATGGTACATCGCAGGGTGGAGGCTGTTTGCCTTCCCTGCTCTGCAGGATGTCATTGTGGGAAACAGGGAAGAGAAGGTGGTGGGCCAGTCCTTGTGTCCATCCCCACCTCCCAATCCCCTACATCCCCCGTCTGTGTCTCTTGTCCAAAAGGAGAGGAAGAGGCATTAAGGGATGGAGGAGACTGTGTTACTTATCCATTTCTGAATAAACATTTGTTATTCCTACCTTTGAGCTGTCATTTCTTTTTTTTTTTTTAAACAAAAGATTGGCACCTGAGCCAACAACTGTTAGCAATCTTGGGTTGGTTTTCTTTTCTGCTTTTTCTCCCCAAATGCCCTCAGTACATAGTTGTATATTTTAGTTGTGGGTCCTAGTTGTGGCATGTGGGACACCGCCTCAGCATGGCCTGATGAGCGGTGTCATGTCCGCGCCCAGGATCCGTACAAGCGAAACCCTCGGCCGCTGAAGTGGAGCATGCAAACTTAACCACTCGGCCCCCGGCCCCCGAGCTGTCATTTCTTAAAAGATTCTGCTAAGTGTTCTTTTGGAACTTGGCACCAGAAAACAGCGATTTGCTTCTGCTTCGCTACTCACCAGCTCTGACTGTGGGCGGCTCCTCACAGGACTCGCTGAGCCTCAGTCTCCAAAGCTGCTGGCCGTGAGCACCAGTGTCTGGGGAAGCGCCCGGCACTGTAACTCAGCGCCTCCGGGGCCTAAAGTGCCTTGCTGGGTAGTAAGCATGGTCGCTCCAGCAGAGTTGGATCTGTTCCCAGGGAATGAGGGAGCCTTTGCCTTGGTTTGAAGAGGTTAGACTCAGAAATTTACCTCTTAGATCAACTATACATTAGAATAAAACTAGTTGATTTTTTTTATTGTGGTAAAATACACATAAAATTTACTGTCAACTGTTTTTAAGTGTGCAGTTCAGTGGCATTAAATACGTTCACGTCGTTGTGCAATCATCACCGTCCATCCCCATAACTCTTCACCTTAGAGAACTGAAACTGTCCCCATTAAACAGCAACCCCCTATTCTTCCCTCCCCGGCCCCTGGCAGTCACCACTGTACTTTGTCTTTATGATTTTGACTACTCGTATAAGTGGAAACATACAGCATTTGTCATTTGCAATTGGCTTATTTCGCTTAGTGTGATGTCCTCAAGGTTCATCCATGTTGTAGTATGTCTCAGAATTTCCTTTCTGAACAACATTCTGTTGTGTATATGTCCCATGTTTTGCTCATTCATCCGTTGATGGACACACGTTGCTTCCGCCCTTTACATGTTGTGAATAATGCTGCTGTGGCCGTGGGTGTACACATAGCTCTTTGAGACCCTGCTTTCAGGTCTTTGGGGTATATACCCAGAGCGGGAGTCGCTGGTGGGAAGATGGAGTGGAGGTACTTACCCTCTCCTCTCCACTAAGTACAACCCTGGACGTTTCATATAAAAGACGTAACTTTGGAAAGGTAGAGAGAGGAAGGCAGACTGGCTGGGGACTTCAGACCCGAGGAATGATGACGGGCACTAAGCTCTCTGGGTTTTCTTTTTGCTTCACATATGCTGAACTGGGTGCTGGAGAAGCATACAAAAAAAAAACGTCCTAAGGAAGGATAGAAAAGATTCCTGAGCAAGATGAAAGTCCAGCCCCAACTTTACCAGCAAAGGCCAAGTTGGGAGCCTAGACTTCCATCCTCACTGGGCTGTCCTGGGGGCACCCCAAAATCCCTGCTGAGGTGACTTCAGAGAAGGGCACATAGGGAGCTGGGACTTTTTCAGTGGAGGCCACTTGAGGAGGAGAAATGAGCCCCAGCCTCTCCCAAGCAGGGTGTTGGCAGCAGAGGTGTAGAGGGATGATGGGGCTCAGCCCGCCTGGCAGTGACCAGGAGACGCTCCCACCCTGGGTGTTAGCAGACAGTGAGAGGAACCTGAACGTCCTCCCACGCCTGGCAGTAATGACGTGGGGCCTTGCCCTCCCTGTCAGAGGAGGTCTCCTGTAACAGAAGATTGAAGTAAGAGCCCGTCTTTTCATGACATAATTCCCAAAATGTCCATGTTTCAGCCAAAAACCACTCATACCAAGGACCAGGAAAATCTCGAAGGAGAAAAGACAATTGACATCAACAGTGAGATGACAGATGTTAGAATTATCCGACAAGGATTTAAAAAGCAGCCATTATAAAAATGTGTCAACGAGCAATTATGGACACACTTCAAACATGTGAAAAATAGAAAGTATCAGCAAAGAAATAGAAAATATAAAGAAGAATCGTTTAGGGTTGAAAAATACAATAGCCAAAAACAAATAAGCAACAATGGAGGAGAAAGGAAAGAATCACTAATCTCGAAGACAAAACAATAGAAATCACCCAATCTGAACAAAACACAGAAAACAGACCAAAAAAAACACTAAAGGACTTCAGGGACCTATGGTGCTATAACAAGAAATCTAAAATCTGTGTCCTCAGGATTCCAGAAGGAAAGAAGAAAGGGTAGGGCTGAAAAAGTATTACAAGAAATAACAGCTGTAAACTCCCCAGAAATGGCAAAATATATAAACTTGCAGATTCAAGAAGCTCAGAGAACCGTAAACAAGATAAACCTAAAGAAATTCTCCCCAAGACACATCACAGTCAAACCTGTGAAAACAAAACACAAAAACTCTCAAAAGCAGCAAAAGAGAAATGAGACCTTTATCTATAGGGGGAAAGAATTTGAGTGACAGCACATTTCTCATCAGAAACCACGAGGCCAGAAGGAAGTGGCACATTTTTCAAGCAGTGAAAGAAAAGTACAACTGAGAATTCTATGTCCAGTGAAAAATATCCGTCAGGAATTAGGGGGAATTTAGGCATTCTCAGATGAAGAAAAATAGGAGAATTTGTTGCCAGCAGATCTACCCTAAAAAAAAATGGCTAAAGAAATTCTCTAAACATAAAGGGAAAAATGAAGAAAATCGGGAACATCAGAAAGGAAGGAGGAAAAAACAATAGAAACAGTACAACTCTGGGTCAATAATATACTTTCCTTCTTTTGAACTTTCTAAATTATGGTTGATGGTTGAAGCCAAGGTTATAACATTGATGCGGTTCTCAATGTATGAAGAGGAAATATTTAAAACAATTACAATGGGAGAGGGCACAGGGATATAAATAGAGGAAAGTTTTTTACATTTCACTTGAACTGGTAAAATGTGGACAGCAGTATACCGTGGTACCTTATGTATATATAACGGAATTCTTAGAGCAACTACTAAAACATAAGAAATACACCCAAAAATAGGAGATAAATCAGAATGGAATTCTAAGCAGATGTTCAAGTAAATCACAGGAAGGCAGAAAAAAGACAACAGAACAGAATACAAAAAATAAAATGGGACACTTAAGCCCTAACATATCACTAAGTATGCTAAATGTAAATGGTCTAAATATATCAATTGAAAGGCAGAAATTGGCAAAGTCAATAAAAAGATACAATCTAAGAGTGCTGTCTACCAGAACGAATTTCAAATATAACAATGTAAGTAGGCTGAAAATAAAAGGATGGAAAAAATATATATCATGCAAACATTAATTTTTAAAAAAAGAAATGGAGGCCAGCCCCAGGGGCCTAGTGGTTAAGTTCAGCATGCTGTGCTTCAGTGGCCTGGGTTCGGTTCCCAGGCATGGACCCTCACTACTTGTCTATCAGTGGCCATGCTGTGTCAGCAGCTCACGTACAAAATAGAGGAAGATTGGCAACAGATGTTAGCTTAGGGCAAATCTTCCTCAGCAAAAAAAAAAAAAAAAAAAGAAATGGATTTACAGGCATACATTGTTTTATTGTGCTTTGCTTTATTGCACTTCACAGATGCTGCGTTTTTTACAAGACCTTCCACCAGCAAAAAAGATTATGACTCGCTGAAGGCTCAGTGATGGTTAGCATTTTTTAACAATAAAGAATTTTTTAATTAAGCTATGTACATTGTTTTCCTAGATATAATGCTATTGTGCACTTAACAGACTACACTATAGAGTAAATGTAACTTTTTTACGCACTGAGAAACCAAAACAATTTGTGTGACTAGCTTTACTGCAGTGGTCTGGAACTGAACCCTCAATATCGCCGAGGTATGTCTGTATTCGTATGAGATATATTATACTTCAGAGCAAAGAAAGTTACCAGGGACATTACATAATGGAAAAACGCTCAATCCACAAGGAGGACATTATAATCTTAAATATGTGTTTACCAAACAACAGAGCTGCGAAACACGTGATGCAAAAACTAGTGGAATTGAAGAAGGAGCAAATCCACACCTATGTTTGGAGACTTCAACACCCGTCTCTTAACAACTGGTAGAACTAGATGGGAGATCAGCATGGGTGGAGAGCTTAACACCATCGACACAGGATCCAAACAGCATAGGACACTCCACCCAAGAATACAGCTCTTTTCCAGTGCCCACGGCACACACACCAGGACAGGCCACATCCTGGGCCGTAAAGCAAATCTCAGCAGATGCGAAAGAACTGAAATCACACAGTGTGTCTTTGTTCACAGTGGAATCAATAATCTCCAGGTCAAAGATTGAGCTCTCCCTCTGAGATCAGACACAAGACAGGATGTCTGCTTTCACCACTTCTGTTTACCATTGCACTGGAGGTTCGAGCCTGTGCAATTAGGGTGAAAGAAAAAGCATCCAGACTCGGGGGAAGAAAGAAGTGAAAGTATCTCTATTTGTAGATGACATGGTCTTGTATATAGAAAATGTTAAGGAATCCTCTAAAAGACTACTGGCACTAATAAACACAGTCAGCAAGGTTGCAAGACACAAGATCAATTAATATACTTACAATGAACAATCTAAAAATCAAATTAAGAGGGACCGGCCCTGTGACCTAGTGGATAAGTCCAGCACGAGCCGCTTCAGCAGCCTGGGTTCGCAGGTTCAGATCCGGCACATGGACCTACACCACTCATCAGCCATGCTGTGGCAACAACCCACATGTAAAAAAATAGAGGAAGATTGGCAGGGATGTTAGCTCAGGGCTAATCTTCCTCAAGCAAAAAAAGAGGAAGGTCGGGGCCAGTCTAGTGATGTAGTGGTTAAGTTTGCGCTCTCCGCTTCAGTGGCCTGGGGTTCGCAGGTTTGGATCCCAGGCATGGACCTATGCACGACTCATCAAGCCATGCTGTGGTGGCATCCTACATGCGAAGTGGAGGAAGATTGGCACAGCTGTTAGCT